TACAAGAAGACAGACGGTAGACTAAGTGGTAGCATCTGTCAATAGCAATCATCCACCAGTAAGGCTGCCGGTGATCCGTTATTCTAAAAATGGCTGAGAATTTTGTAACAGCAACCTTGACAGTGTAGCATCTCTCGTTCGGCTTTTCGTTCCTTTCCAAGTCTGATCTTTGAATGGGATCCTTTCATTTGTGTTTTGCCTGTGCTCCTGCGCTATTTCTGAAAACACACGAATTTCGCTCGAAACTAAATCAAGCGCAAAACTGCAGCAGATACCACTGTTAATGTCAGGCAGAATAAAAAATCAAAGATACCAGAAACAGAAATTGGGCAATAATTTCCAGAAAGAGGAGGGTTATCATACAGAAGTTACTAACCAGTGATAGTTTTCCGTACGTGCGGCTGGCATACATCCAGCGGAGTTTGACCCTTTTTGTTGCAGACCCCAACCAGAGCTCCACTGCGAATAAGATCCTGAATAAAACACACCATCATCTCTTGCTAATTATCAAAATACCAGTGTATGCATTTGATGCTCACCGAGTAGCTGGCACAAAAAATCGTCAATGCTAAAAGAAATCGTACAGCTAAGTGCAATGCAATCAGTACGAGTATTCCATGTTAGTGATGTTGCTGGCTGAGATACTCTCACATGCCAGTTCCAGGCCCTTCGATCCTGAGCCCCCAAACCAAGGAAGCAAAAAGAGTGTCGATAAAATTAAATAAATGCAAATGATAAATTTAGCTAATTCACCGCCGAAAAGTCACCGGAATGATTCGTGGGAATGCGCCAGCGATTATACAAATATCCGAACAAATGCTTTGAGCATTCTTTAAACTGCGATCAAAAATACAACAGCGTAAGAATACCTCGCAAATTTGTACATAGCCCCAAAAACAGGCGTAATGTAATGGTGTCATCCCGTGCTCATTCGTTGCATGGACGTCCGCTTTTCGAGAAAGCAATTTCTGAAAGCAAAAAATAATTTCTGAAAGCAATTTCTGCATTACTCTGTACTTCAGATTATGCGCAAACACGATGATAAAGACCAAGGACGCAAGTAAGCTGACCACCAAGCACCGCTAGCTAAAGCAAATGGAAAAATAATCGATCACATAGGTGAAAAGGCAGAAGATGAACTACAGCCGAGTGGGGGGATTCCAAGCAAGCAAGCCGACAAGTTCCCCTTTCTTTCCCCCCTTTCCCACAGCGTCTCCTCTCGCAGCCCTCCGATGCATGTATGGCGGTAATTTTTTTTTTTTTGCAAAAGTCTTACGACAACAATTTCTCGATGTCCGTGCGCTGCAGCTAGATGTAAGCTTGTATCGTCGCCCATATTCGTAGCGTTCACTCGTGCACCACGTGATAGCAGTAGCTCAGCAATTGCAACATGGCCCTCCTTGGAAGCCCAGTGAAGCAACGAGAACGCGTGATCGTCCCTAAAATGCAGTAACGAGAAAAACTAGGAGAAGAAAGCTATTACATGAAATTGTCAAAACTGAAGTGGTGCATTTGTGAATTTTTGATCAAGAACCATACTGAGAATTCGAGAGCCACGTTAAGAATTGACTGCTGCCCCCCCCCCCTCGCTCCCAGCGGGCATCAATTCAAAGAAAA